GGGGACGAAGGGTATGGAAAGAAACCGTGGATCCCTGGATACGAGGATGGCGTGACGTTAACGTGGGGTGTGTCAGGAAAAAGGAAAAAAAAAAGATACACCGTAGGAACTTTCTTGATATCCTCGATATTCCCATTTACTATTATTTACGGTATGTAGTTTCTACGTGCACTACCGTGCTATAGATACAGCAATAATAGAACATCCTTATTACGCCAGATAAACCAAGAATAAGTGCATACAATGATCGAGCGAACGAGAAAGATAAGGAAGTAATGGGGCAAAAACGGGGCACAATTAAGTGCCGTTACGAGTCTGACATTCAACAGTTTTAATTGCCATTTATCCGTATCTGCCAGTTTAAAATAATTGACATTTATGCCGCGGTAATGATTATTTTACGTCGCCGCGATTAAATTCTTCGACTGTGTCTTTTATCCGGATTGAGCAATTAAAGAAAGAAACGACGGCCAAAAGTAGGCAATAAACCTTGTTCGTTCGTTGGAAAATTTTCAGTCGATAGCCACCGTCGAATTCCTCCCAGAAAATACAATTTAAACGTAAAAGCGAACGCGTCAAAATTATTTCGAAACTCGTGGTACCTCCGTCGGGGGGATCTTCGAGTTCGGTGCAGCGCGATCCTTCCGGGTTTTCCTTCTATTCGCCGCTCGCGGAGATAAGTTCCCTCTAATCCGGGGTAATCGAAGCCTCGGAAGTTCGATTCCGCAGATTTCGAATAAATTCGCGAAGTTAGAAAGCGTCGTGGCGCATTGATAGAGAATGTCGGGGGTCGGGGGTGGCGCCTCGAGGAAAGTGGGGGCGAGAGGAAACTTCCGCAATATCCCCCGTCTGCGCGAGGAACGGCGAATGCCGCGTGCGGCGACCGAAAGCGGATATTAAACTTAATATATAGCCGCAATTAGGCGCAGGCCTTCGCCCTTATCGTTTACAGGCTGCCGTGTTGCGCCACCGTGTCACTCTCCCGCCCTCGAGCAAACGGACCGCCGGGTGTCAACCATAAGCTCCCTTTGTCCCTAAATCACTGCCAACCGCTAATTAGCCGGAATTCTTAAACGGGAAATTCCAAGCAGCGAATCCACGTCGACGCGCTCGTTCCATTCCACCCCTCGCGTTTTTGCGCGGGCTTTTTAATTGGGACCGAACGGACACGCGACCGCCATCGAAACGCGTACGCGCTAAAACAATTTAACCCCGGCTCGCGAGCACCGATACGTTACGTAAAAACAATTTTATTTACGACGGTTAATCGGTTTTATTAATTATCAATCGGTAATGGAGAATCAATTTATCGTGTTATTCGCAAAACATCGAACGTTCGCGATAAACGGGACGCAACGAACGACGGTGTAACGGTAGCGCCCGGAGGTTATCTGTCGCGAGACTCGTAGACGCATATTACACGCTTCTGTCGTCAGTTTTTTTAATCGCCGTTGCTCGGGGTTATCGGCGATTTTCGATCGGGGGTTATCGTCCCCGGCGGTCTCTGAAAATAACCAACTAATAAATACGTATAAAGAATCCTTTACTCCGCGTCGCGAGCGCTCCGAACGAAGACCATGGTCGATGCCTTTTTTTAGAAAACGCGAATACGTTTACTATTAACCGTACTCTTCCCACCATTTTTTCCCCTCCCCCTCCCGACGGTTTGCATAATGCGAGATTTTCTTCAGCGGTACAGACCGCCGTCGTATTTTTACACGTCGATCATCGTTATTTCCAACATTAATTCCTGGCGAGCGCGCGTCATGCTAAGCAGACACGTTTTTTACACCCGTAGCTACGAGGAAAAAAAAAAGTAACGCGACAAAGAAACGGAGAAATATTCGAAGGAGAGGAGAAGGTACATAAATTAAGCGTTCCCCGAGAGGAGGCTCGCCGGATGTTAACCCCGTCCGTCGAAATCCTGCTCGGACAGCTCCCTCCGGAGTAGGGCGCGGTGAAAAGGAGCGTCGGTTATCTATAAATTCTGCGCGGACATTAGTCTGATCCGACGAAATTGTTGATAATGCTCGCGCCAGCGGCGGTTGGATGGGCCGCGGATATTTATGGCGACGCAATCGCTGGTAGAACCGTAGGGCCACGGAGGATGCAACCAAGGGTTTTCTGGCTGCTTGGCTCGCCCCTGGCGTGATGTGCCGCCAGCAGGATGGAATGGTTTTCCCTCCGGTTGCCAAGGTAACCTATGGCCCACCCTTCCCAAGTTCAGCAACCACCCTGTTGGCGGTGTGGCTGCACCAACGTACGCGAGTCGAACTCACGCACACGGGTGCACGGTGAAACCACGTTGGCCCCGACCCTCGCACACCGATCCCACGGCTGTTCCCCCGTGTCTCGCGCACCACCACACCCATAAACCGGAGATACGTGCAACCGACAGGCGCGCAACACACACAAACGCGACGGAGAGTCGATGAATCGTGGACCTCTCTCGCTGCTGCGAACGGCCATGCTGAATTCAATATCAGCATTCCCCGCGTTCCCTCCGAATATTTTTTTGCTCGGTTTTGAACGATGAGGACCGAATGGCGTACCCCGAAAGCCTCCCTGCGCTCGCGAATCGCCCGTTCGCGGGAAAACCGGAGGAAAATGACCGGAGCGAGCTCGAACGCCGCTCGAGAATTCGCTTTTCGGGGATTTGCGTGGGCGAATTTACCCGGGAAATCGTTTCTGTTTATTTCCACGCGCCGGCCGCGGAATGAAAATGGAGTTTCTTTCCGGGCCAGAGCGAGAAGGATTCGCTTTGAATATTTCAGGGCTCTGTTCCCGGGACACTCTGCGTGCACCGTTATAATCTGGACGTTTTAACGTCTTCGTTATTTTAATCGAATTTTATTTAACGTCTTTAAGGTTGATCTTTGAATAGAATATATTCGAATTTTCTTCACGCGCGTTGCCACCATTTTGCGTCTCTCTCGAGGCCGTGCAGCTTTCGCGAACTGCTTCCTATTATTTATAGTAGGGAAGACGTCAAGGTGGTATTCCGGTACGCGAGACCGCGTGGAACACAAAATCTCGCTATCTTTTATTGGTCGGTAGCACGTATTTGCTTCATCACGAGGCAATAATATGGCCACTCAGCGTCTTCGTGAGAATGATGGTATTATGGCTGTCCGCTCATTGCACCGGAGGAACCGGTTTCTTAGCGACGAACCGAAAATACGAGTCCCCTCCTTCCCTGCGACTGTGCGCCGGCAGCCAAAAGTAGAATAACGCCCGAGCCAATTGCGAAAATTGCCGTTGAGAAACGTATCTTTCGTCTTTGTTACAATTTGCTGCCGCCCCCTTTTGTTCTACGGACCGTATAAACGGTCAGCCACCATTTTAAATCATTCGCGACGCAACAGGGACGTCTTTTATCGCACAGTTAACACGTTCGCCGCCATGTTGATCATCGGTGACCGACGTTGGTCGCTTCCATTGAAATATTAATAACATTACGACGATTTACGTCTGTCAGATTGCGACTACAATTGACAATAATATCGTCTTGTAGAATAGGATACGCCAGGTGTCCCGGAACGATCGAAAATTACTCGAAAACGGGGAGCAACGATCTCTTGATTATGGTGCAAAAACTGAAGTCGCAATTTTAAAGGTCGTTAGGTACGTGTTGTGAATTTTGAAGAGATCGCAGGTCTAGGTACCACGAACGAGCTTCGAAACGGCTAGAAAGCAGCGCTTCCAGGTAAAAGCCAGATGACAAGCACGAGTTTTTACCTGGTTAGTGCGCCAACGCGGTTCGATAGCTACCTAAACACCATAAAAAATTCAGCGTGCCCTGAGCGCACCCCGTTTTACGACTTTTTGACTCGGTCGGAGAAAGTTAGAGGAGCAAAAGGCATTCGAAGAAAGGGTTCGATTCTCGGACAATGAGCCACGAGACTTTTCGGGAAAACTTTCTTTCTCCGTCGTTTTGCTCTTCCGTCTTTACCTCCTTCAACCCCTGCAATAAACCGGCCGTCCGAAAGCGCTGTTCTCTTTTTTTTTTCGTCCCCCTTCCGGAAAGAGAAAGCGAGGAGAGAGTTAAGATTTGTGACTCGACGAACGAAACGCAGGTCATTCTGCGGGAACACGGAAAAACTGAACTTTTTGCGCAACGAAAAAGCAACTCCCATAATCGGGTACCCTCATTCTGTCCGCCGAAAGGGCCGCCAGCGAAATCGCCGGATTCCTGTTTCGTCGAACGAACAATGAAATACGCGACAGTTTTACGCGCGTCGTTCGCTTCTTGCGATAAAATTAACGAACTCGATGCGCTAATTATTAATTAAGAATCGACTACACGCCGCTGCGCAACGATCGTGCAATTAATAATTCAAATTAATAATTTCAGCGCTTAACCCTCGGGATACGGACCCGACTCTGTTCTAAAAAAAAAAAAAGAAACAATTCTGCACGCGTTCGTTTGCGTTCGTATCGTTTCGTTTCCAAAAGTATAATCTTCGAATCTTCCGTATCAGCGAATAAAACTCGTCTTCAAGGATCGAAGTATGCGTCAGCAACCAAAAATTTATTTTCGAACGTATCCATGGCTATCAATTGTCGTTTAGTCAGCCGACCCTTTGCACTCCTTTACGCGCTTACACGGTAAGTCAACAGTCAACTTCTTTCGATAGGTTTTCAGTGAACGCGTTACCATTTTTATTTTTCCTTTCACACATTACAAAAGTGTTAATACACGGGTCGCCCCGTTGGAAACAATCTTCGTCATTGTAAATAACTGGACGGAGCTTTGCTCACGGAAGTCGCATAATTTCTGGGGGGCACGATAAGGCGACAGTGATTTCTTTAAATCAAAATTCTGCCTCTGAGCAATATAAAGACTACTGTCACCGTGTCTATGACTTCCTAGAAATGCGATTTTGTGATCAAGGTATCTTGCTAGGATTTAAAATGGCGTGGTGGCAGGTTGTTTCCATCGTGGCAGCCCTTACTGGAGATGCTAAATTGTAACGGATATCCTTTTATTTGTCACGTAGTTGTCCAGGACCCGTACGAAACGCATGGTAAGTGATCGACGCGTCGAATTGACTGTGGGTAGTGCAAAGGGTTGAAAAGGCAAGACCGTGTCCTACATGAAAAAACTAACCTAGGCAAATCTGCGTTTCTGACGTTTCCAGGGCCGAACGGCTGTCCGAGGCGTAGGGGTCGGCAGACCTACACGCGGTTCCAGACCCTGGAGCTGGAGAAGGAGTTCCACTTCAACCACTACCTGACGCGACGGCGGCGAATAGAGATCGCCCACGCCCTGTGCCTGACGGAACGGCAGATCAAGATCTGGTTCCAGAACCGGCGGATGAAGCTGAAGAAGGAGCTGAGGGCAGTGAAGGAGATCAACGAGCAGGCCAGGCGGGAACGCGAGGAGCAGGACATGATGAAGAAGCAGCAGGCGGAGAAGCAGGCGAAGATGCAGCAGGACCAGCAGAGCGCCGCCCTCCAGCATCAGCAGCAGCATCACGTCACCGGGCTGGACAAGACGCAGAGCGATCTTCTGAAGGCGGTCAGTAAGGTGCCCACATAGGAGACTTTGCTGGGCCGGTTGTCTTTCTTTTAAAGAAGAAACGAGAGACTGGACGCGGCGGGCATCGACGCGAAGCGGTAAGGGTCCGCCAATCCGTGGAGGACCTCAACGAAAGAAGCCGTGCTCCTCTTCTTCCTCTTCTCGAGCCGACCCAGGACACCGCGGGGACTCCCCGTGGTCTTTCACGAACGAGGAGAACGGCGTTTTCGCGTAGGAGGCATCGCCGAGTGATCTCTGTTCTCTTTTATCCGTTTTGCACCGGGGGTGAAAAGAAAACGGGAAGAAACTTTCCGCGCGGTTTGGGAGAAGGACTCTGGGGTACAGTGAACACGATAAGGGTAACAAAGGGAGGAGGAGGCGAGGACGGCGAGGGAAACGCGTGGCCGCGCGTCGCACGGTGTCTCCCGTAGCTCGTCCGTCTCTTTCGTCTTTTTCTTTTGTTTTTTGTTTCTCTGAAGGAAGGAACAAAGGGGAGAAGAGCAAAAAGAAAAGAACAAAATGCACGGAAACGCAAGTAATCGTATAGACCGTTAGACAACCCGTAGTAGAAACGCGAAGCGTAGAAGAAAAAAAGCGATGCACACCCTCGAAACTACGTACTTATTTGGCTGGGCCAAAGGAGGACCTAGCCTGCGACTGATTCCTAGAACCTATAATGTATAATTGTTTAATCGGGCGCTGCGCGACGAGTCATCGCGATTGCCGGCCGACCAGCGACACCAACCAACAAACAAAACAACAAACAACCAAGACGAGCAGTTGGCGACCACGATAAAAACTGCCAGGCACACGCGAGAAGAACCGACGGCCTAGAATTAGTTTAAACGAGCGGAAGCAGAAGGATTACAACGACCCCCCCGGGCCTGTCGCGCGAGTTGTTTACGGCAGTCGCCGACGGGACGATCAATTAATAACGACGGAGAAGAGCAATTAAAGCGAGGCTGTCGAAGAATTCGTCTAATTGCGCCGAACGATTGAGGATAGACGAGCTCGTCGCGACCCTAACCAACCCCCCCGATCATTCCGAAAAAAATACCTAAACCCATCCCAGAAGCATCCTTGGAGAGTCGTGTATCGTCGAACGGATTTTTTTCCCTCGAGATAGAACCAAGATGGCGTCGCCGTAGCGGTTAACTGCTCGCGCAGCTGTTCGCGACGCTCCTCGTTGGAAGGACGAATGTATCTCTCGAGCGATCGCGGATATACGCATACCTTGTTCGGATACCGAGGCACAGATCGCCCGGGCAAAACAGCTGCTCGGGGCACACGCACGGGAACACACACGCGCGCTCTCGAAACGCTGGCCAACTTCTTTTGCCCGGGAGGAATTTAGTGGTACAAATCGATGATGCCATTCGCCGAGCTCTCCTTTTACAGAGTTAATTAGCCGTGGTTTACGCTCGCGATTACCTCTCTCCGTGACTTCGCGTTGCAATTAGGCGAATTAACCGTCGCTACCGAGAATATCTCTCGGCGTTCCCGACGTCCGTACGAAACCGCGCGGGAGTTTCGCCGCGCTGACGCGAACGTAACTTTTGCGCGTTTCTCGCAGCTGAACCTGTTGCGGACCGTTCTCTTATTTTTATCCTTGTTTTTTTTTTCTTCGTTCTTCCCGTGACCCCGAAAGGCACGAGAACCGTACAGGGTGTCCGGAAGCGATCGCGGGTACCACCGACGAGGAAGAGATTCGTCCTAAAACGAGGCAAGTAAAAGATACGAAATTTCTACGATCGGTTGTGTGGTTTTCGGGGACCATTGAAAGCATGAGGTAATCGAAAAGGTAAGAACACAGTTTTTGTCAATTATTTCCGAGGGAAGCAGTTTTGTTTCTGTAGAGATCAAATATTTTTAGACAAATCTATTGGCGTTTACGAGAATAGTATATTTTTGGGACGATCTAGATACAGAGAGTTGAAGAAGATATTTTTCTTTGAACGTAACATTCTGTGGCTGCATTGTAATATTACTGTCTTATAAATTTTAAAAAATTCGAGCCACCTTTCTCGCAAAATACACAACCAATCCGGAAGAAGCTACTCGATTCTACCTGTCGCCAGCTCACCTGTTCGAACACCCTGTACACTTGCTCCGATTGGCGTCTTCGAAATTTTCATTTACATTCTGCAGATACTTCGAACCGCCAAAAAGAGCAAGTAGCCGTTTGTTAAATCTGTTTCGATGAACGGAACAGGGGGGGGAGTTTCGGAAACGTTTTGGAGTACGATCGGTTCGGGACAGACTGACTCGTCGACGAGCATCTGCATTCGTTTTTATATCGCTTCAGTTAGATCTCAGAGGATATCGCGCAAGGTATCGCTAAGGCTTTTACTAATACAAGATAACTTGTATAGAAAGCAGTACGTTTTCCATATTATCTAAGATAATTTATCGAAACGCCATCCGAGGATGTTATCCTCAGTTGCATCGCGTTACGATCCACGATCGTCCACGGGGTAACTCGGAACGCGACGTTCGTTGATAGAAATTTATTTTCCCCATTTGTTTTCCCATTTTATTTTTTTTTTTTTTTTTTTTTTTTTGTTTTTTTTATTCTCTCTGATTAATGTTATTTGCTCACTTCGCGGGTGGTATGTTAATTATCTCTTCTGTTAATTTTACGTAGTGTTAACATAGTTTATATCGAGACGAACGAGACGATTTTTATCCGTTTCCAAAAGAATGATTTTCTTTTTTTTCCCCGTTCCGTGTTCGATCGTTTACGATTCTATTGTTTCGTTGTCCGCCAGGGGAAAATGTAACGAAAACAGCAGGGGGCGAGGGAACGAACGACAGACTCTCGTACAAACAAAGACACATCACCGGACGAGTATCTCACTCTTAGTACATTAAATACGTAATTTGGTGTCAGGGTAGACCTTTTTCCATAGATATAGAAGCCGTTGTTGCTATTACTTACGGTAGAATTCGTAAACAAAGCGAGGAGGACGTGAGAGGGATAGACAAAAAAAAAAAACAGACGAAAAGGAAATTCTTCAGATTATATAAATTATTACCTAATTATTTTTTGTCTCCTCCCCGTCAACGCGATTCGTACAAAGCATTCCGCGACCACCGTACTCGAGGATTCTCGGATTCGCGGCGTTAGAAATATATTTTATGGTTAAGTTTGACGTCGATGCTTCGTGGGTTTGGGTCTTCCATGGGTTTTTAGCGGGGAAATTATCGATTCCGGGGAACAGTTTCCGTCGAAGACGGATCCGTCCCGCGATTTAATATTCTTGTTGAGCGTTTCTTTTTATCATTTCTTCCGGTTGCTCGTGATTTTTTGTTCTAATGGGTGAATCGTTAAGTTTTATCGGAACTGGTTCGCCGATGATTATTTTAATGAACGTTCAGAGGGAACGATGCGGCGGGAAGATCGCGAAAAATCGTTGAAATATCGCGGAAACATATACGTAACTCGAGCCAAGAGAGAAGAATTCATATTCCCGCGATGGCGGGGAATCCGTTGTACGAATCGTCCGGTGACTATCTATTTACGACATGTAAAATCATAGTGTACACAATACCATATTATATATATATATATATATATATATTATTAAAAATAACGAGTATATTATATATACAAATATATATATATATGAACAAACGGGGAAAAGAATCTGTTGCACCGTGCTCTAAGGACAAAGAAACAAATGATTTTGATAGTAGCGTCGTAAGAAATTTAGGATACGTATGACGTACGTAATTAAAACGATTTAAAAAACGAGGATAGCGAAACGCGGACGGAAGGAAACGCTAAACGAAACAGTGAAACTAAAAAATAAGACTTTGTTTACGTTTAAACGGGGGATTGAAAAGGGGAGAATTTTTAGGGCAGCAGCTAAACTAAATAGTAAAGCGAAATAAAAAAAAAAGTGAATAAGTAATAGACACGTCCGTAATCATGGCGAGATAGCGTCGTTTTAGGGGAAATCTTATAAGGGGAAGGAAAAGTAAAAAGTGGATAGAAATTCATATTAATACTGTACCGCTAATTAACTAAAGTACTATTATAAATAATATTCCCGTACGTAAAGTTTAACGATTAAGCTACCGAGCATGCGAGTCTACGGACGAGATGTACTCGCGTAAAGATTTCCTCATCCCGATCCAAACCCTCCCCACCCTTCCTCGTCCGACATAGCAATGTACCGGTGCATACCGTAATCGTAACGATGTTTTAACGTGTAACGAGCAAGATAAATCGAAGCAGAGAAAGAAAATAGAAATACACGAACGACGTAGAGTATATAATATATTACAGGCGCGTAAGGTACGAGCGTAGGGTACGATTTTGGCAGGATGATCGACGTTTCGAGGGAACACAACTCGGAAAAATATATAGTTGCATCGACGCTGTTCGACGAACAAAGAAACTCGTTTGGAGAATATTTAATTCATGGAAGAGACGCACGAGATGTTAATTTTTGTTTTTCTTTTGTAGAATTCTCTATATCGACGGACTCCAAGTTCGTCTCGTTACGGTGACGTTCGAAATGTCACTTTCGATTCTTTATACTTTCCCCTTCTTTACGATTCCGAGGACTTCGGGCGCGAGTCGTGCACATTTTGGAGCAGCCTTTCGAGCGTGACTAAAAAACGGTGTTGTTTAAATTTTAATTTTAAATTTCGCCAATCTCTGAGAGTCCTGTTAATTTTGTTTGAATGCTCGGTAATTGTTCAGAGTCTGAGGAAACAAGCACTTCCGGCGGACTCGCGTCGCGAAACCTCAGATGGTGTAATTTCCCCGACGCGTTCGGGAGAAAATTGAAACGTATCGTACTTGGCAAGCTTCGCTTCTAACGTCCGTTCTATCATCGTACTTCGAGAGCTTCGTTTCTCATCGTGGATCGCGTACGCGTGTTTCTCCGTCTCGATCGACCGCGACAACTATATCTTCTTCGGAGAGGAACCATACGCGAGCCCAGGTATACACCCGATCGTGACACGAAACGAAAAGAAAGACCGTGAAGAACGTCGACGAACAGTCGTACATCGGTTCCGCTCCCCGTAATCTCAGTTATCGAATTTTAAGGGAACGTTTTCCGTCGTTCCATCGAACGGGAGACGCGTGATCGCGCCTGAAACTTCTTCGGCTCAATGTATACGTAAAAATAAAAAAAAAAAAAAAAAACGAAAGGAAAACGAGGGGAAATTAAGTGAGATGAAGAGAGAGAGAAAGAGAGAGAAAGTTTTAAGGGAAGAAACGCACGTGACGCGATGAGTCCCGAGAATCGGTGTAACTATTTGTAGAAAAGCTTTACGCGTGACTCTATTATACGAATTATTATTATTATCATTAAAATAGTATCGTCGACATTATTTTTATTATGTTTAATTATATAGCGTAGTTACGGTCTTTTTCATGTTAAATCTTCTCGCGTAACGCGGTCCGTTTCTAAACGAAAACGAACGAAAGAAACGACACAGACGCGCGCGCACGGCAGCCAGGAAACGGGCCGGCGGAAGTGGCGGCGCCGATACGTCCGACAAATTAGAGATATACGTAAATGCGTGAAACTGCTAATTAATTATCAACGATCAATGATCGTGGAGTTTGTACAGTGCTCGCTGAGGTGTGAGGTGGTTCGTAGCGGTCGTGTTATATACGTACGTATGCATTAAGTCTTAATCGTTAGTGACTGCGGTTCGAATGAGAACGAGAGAGAAGAACTTTGAGAAGAAACGATCAAGTTGAATGCGAGAGGCCCATTCGCGCGAGCTTTTCTTCGGGGAAAAGTGGCGTCGTCGGGTGTCGACTCGACCGAACGACCCAACGGACGATTTGGGAACCGTGCCGTTTCCGTTTCTTCCTTTCCTTTTCTCTTCGAGCTCCGCGTTCCATTTTGTATCCACTCGAACGATGCGTCGCGGCCACAGATGGCCGCTCGTCTCGAACGTTTCGAGCGATGGACGAACTCTCGCGCGTTATTTCTCTCGTTGACTATCGTACG